CCGAGTGAGCCACGGGCCGGCCTGACCCCTAACTTCTGATACAGCCGCACCCCATCCCACTGCAAGGCAGGAGGGTCCTATAGGCAGCTTAGGCCTGTGTTTCCCTGAGCATCTTTTACCCTCTCATTGGAGCCCACACAGGGACGTTTGTGAGGCCTGAGTGGGGACTCACAAGGGCTGATGGTAACCGCTCCCACCTGCAGCTGCTCCCTGCCCTCAGGAGCAGCTTGGCCCGCAAGCCTGGGCACGCAAGGCAGCATGAGGAACTGAGCAGGGAGTGATGGGGGTGGGGAAAGCACCCTGCACCGTCCCAGGGCAGAGTAGACAAGGGTAGCACCAAACAGAAGGAACACCACCCCACAGCACACACAACACCCTCCCTCATTGACCTGATGCACTCCACCTCCCTCAAAGGGGACACACAATGCACACGCGCTCAGACACAGGGCAAAATAATATTCCAGGGGGTACATCCGGGAGTCCCATCCTGACCAGGTAGAGGCTAGACAGGTGGAGGAGAAGGGTGGCAATCCCTCCCACAATCCTGCTCTGCGAAATGAAGGGTGGCAGCTTTTCCTTCCTGCTTGGGAAGAGGAGGTTGCAAACTCCACCTGCAGAGCAGACCTCAATGGGAGCGGAGAGAGGAGGGAGCTCTCTGCCCCCTTTCCCGGCAAGGGCAGGAACCAGCAAAGTGTGATTTTGGCTTGAAGAAGCAAGGGGTAGAGGACTTCAGCAGGATGAACAGGCTTATCAGTCCCAGGGTAAGTCCACACAACTCTTTCCTGAGGGCCAGTAAGTTGCTCCAGGGGAAAGATGTCAGATGTGGGTTAGGACATGGTGCAAAGTGCTTGAGTGCCAGGTGCCCAAGGCCCCTGGTGGGCGCTGCCCAGAACCTCTGTTCTCACTGACTATTCGCCTCCAGCTTATAAGAGAGCTCAAAGAGGAGGTTCTGGTTGTCAATGACCTGGAACTGACGCACATAGGCCTTGGTCTGCAGGTGATGAGGGGACGCCTCCATGTCCAGGCCTGGGGTGTAAGGAGAGAGAGGCAGTCGGTTCCCAGCCTCCCTTCTCGCTCTACACACACACCGGGCAGAACACGAGGGTGAGGATGGGGACAGGTGTTGGGCAGGAGGGAACTGATAAGCATAAGGAAACATTACATTTGAGCAGGGAGCTCTACCTGTAATGCTCTCAGAACCCTGGGTACTCACAAAGGGGCCGGCTCCGGTATTTGCGGATTGTCCTCACTTTTTCAGCCACTGAATGCTGGGAGATGACAAGGAATGAGCCCAGAAAAGGGCACAGAAAGATGCTCCCCCTCATACGCTCCCCCTCCTCCATTCTCCAACTCTGTTGGTTTTACTCCCACCAGTCCCCAATTCTGGAGGGTCTCTGAAGGACCAAAAGGAAGGGGTGTAACAGGTGCCAGGTGAGGGGAGAGAGAGTTGCCCCTGAGCTGCCTGCCCACTTTGCCACCCATGGGTGAATTGCCACAGTGATGCCACCAGGGAGACGGTCAAGTCTGTTAGGCAAGCTGGGCACCATGGAGGAAGGTGGCTATTTCAGGGAGGTGACAGGAGAGGGGGAGGATGTGAGCCCCCCTCATGGGCCTGGGGGTTGGCAGTGCCACTCACCAGCTTCTCAATGTTCACCAAACCATCTACAAGGGTCTTACTCCCCTCGTGCAGGAATGTCAGGTCTAGGGGATGGGGAAAGAATCAGATGTGAGGAACGGATAAGAGAGGGGGTCCTAAGGGCCACTGCACCCAAGGACCCTTCCCCTCCCCCAGAACCCACTCAGTCTGGGGGCTCCTCTCCAGGTGGGCACTCAGAGCGGAGTTGCGAGGGGATTGAGAATCAGAACTGGGGCTTGGGAGAAGGAGAATGTGGCTAGAAGAGCCACAACATGGGAGCAATTCTCTCACCTTTGAGGATCAGAGGCACGAAGGGAATCACAGGGGGCTTCATTTTGGAGATGACTTCCCGGTAGCTTTTGTGGTTCCTGCAGGGGTCCTAGCATTCCGCAGAAGAGGGATCAAAGGACAGATAGGCCCAGTGCACCCCAAAGATGTCCCCTACTCCTTCCCTCACCCCCCTGCCCTAGATACACCTAGATCAGATAGGGGTGGGGTGCGTATGATGTCTGGCTGGGGTGTGGCGGGGAGGGCCTGGACTGCTCTCCCATCTCTTTCAGGGAAAGCAGGGTAGCAGTCCTTCCGCCCTTCCCCTCCCAGCATGGGGAGAAGGTGGTGGGTCCCAGACACTGAAAACTTTGAAAGGGAAGCTTGAGAGAGAGGGTTTATGGGAACAGAAGGTCTCTGGGGTGTAAGGCCAAGGGATGAAAGAGCCAAACCCACTCACCGTCAGGTTCTCAAATTTGCGGAACAAGTTCTTGAATTTCCCTGGCAGCTTCTGCAGAGAGTTTGAAGGAAGGAGAAGGACTATCAGAGTGGAGCTCCTTGGGTTTCAGGGGAGCTTCTGATTAATCCCCGGTGTTAGAGGGGAAAGGGCCTGCGTGTCTTGCAGAGGGGCTGGGAAGCAGGTGGGTGGGGAAGTCGAGTCAGCCCTTGGCTAGGGCAGGCAGGGAGTTTGAAACAGCTCAGAAGAATTAAATATCCTGGGGAAAGCGAGCCTTGTGCTTATGCATGCGCCACGCACGAAGGTGCCCCCGCGGCGTTCTGGCTGCAACTCGGCCCGACTCCCACAGCCAAACCTGCGACCTGGCCTGCGGCTGCCTCCCCCCACGGCGGCTCAGAGTTCGGGGTTTTACTAATTCGCACAAATACAGGGTCCGTTAGGCAAGCTGTGTGCCCTGGGACCGTATCTGCCGGAAGAGGGCGCCTCCCTCCTGCTGGCACGAGGACGCCCTGTGTACTAGCAGCACCCCCGGGAGGACGCCCAGACCCCCGAGGTGGGATGGCTGGGCCGGCCCTGGAGGGAGACGACGCGGAGGGAGGTCCCCTCACCTCCCAGGTGAGCCGCAGGCGGCTGACGGCGGCGTTGTCCAGCCCCATGACCACGGCGTAGAGGGACAGCAGGTCCTGGTTCTGCTTGCAGCTGCGGGGGCGGGAGGCGGGGTCAGGGGCGGCAGCCTGGTGGCGNCCCCTCTAGAGTACCTGTGCTCCCCACCGAGGCTGGCCTCTGAAGAAGATGCTTGAGAGGAGCTGGTTCTACTACACAGGGGGACTCCACTGAAGGTGCCCAAACCCCAAGACCCCATGTGTTCCCCTGAGCTACTCAGGAATCCTTGGTCCTCCTCGTGCCCACACTCACTCTCATCGGAGCCCCGGAAGGCCACTCGGGTCTGCAGACAGGAGTCTATCCGGCGGAAGTGGCGGAAGAGTGGCTTCACCTGCTTGCTGGGCGGCTGGTTCTCCTCGGGAATCCTGGCATGAACACGGCCGGGCATCAGCAAGCCTTTCTGGGCATGTGGAGCACCAGGCAGGCAGCATCAAGCAGGGATATCAGAATTGGGTCAAGGATGTATTGGCACCAGTTTCAGAAGATGGTTAAGGTCAGAAGAAAGGACAATGACCAGCATGGGACAACTGTCCATCTGACCCAAATCAAAGGCTACCTCTTCCATGAATTCTTCTCTGACCCACCCCACCTACCAGGAAAAGTCATTTTCTTGCCTCAGCTGCCATAGAACATTGGGATGATATTTGTTTGTGTTTATTTCTTATCTCTTCTATGAGACTGAGAGTTTATGAGGACTGGGATTGGTTCTTAACAAATTTTTTTTTTTCATCCTCCAGGGCCTAGCACATTGCTTGGCACGTGATAGGTAGCTGATCATCAGATGTTTGCTGAATTTTGCCGACAAGAACTTCAGTCTGGGAGGGAGACAGATGTGCACACAGCTACTGCTAACACGAGGCAGGAGATGCTGGCAACGTAATGAAAGGAGAGCTATGTTGGCATGGGGTAGAGAGAAAGCTATTCCTAAAAGGAGGATCTGGGGAGTTTTCATTGAGAAGGTGGCATTTGACCCGGGCTTTAAAGGACAACAGGGAGAGAAGAGGGAGGCAGGAGGGCTTTCTGGGTAGGACAGTATAAGCAAGAGCAGGAACCTGGGAAAGCGCAGGAGTTGAGAGAACGGTGGGGTGTATGGGGGGTGTCATGGATGCAGGGGGATATGGGAGATGAGACGGGAGGATTAGCAGAAGGCAGAAAGGGAAGGGCGTTGAATGCTGTGCGAGGATGTTTAACTTTGCCAGTGGGCAGCGAGGATGCTTTNTGGCCGTCTCCCGGCGGCCGCGCTCCCCGTGGAACACGTAGTCCACGAACTCCAGCTGCACCCGGGTGGCGGAGGGGCGGTCGGCCAGGGCGCCGGGGTGTGGGCGGAAAGGTGGCAGCGCAAGGCGACAAGGAGGGAAAGGCCGGAGGACGGGGGAGGAAGGTGTGGAAAATAGAAAAACAGAGATGGGGGGGAAGCAAACAGCCAACATTAATATTCCACCATCTACTGAGCACTACCAAGGGGCCAGGCACTTGCTAAAGGCTGACTTATCCTCAGGTCACCTTCTGGCAGACATTATTGTAGCTGCCTTATTTTATTTCTTTAATAGTGAATATTTAAAAAATACCAACCTTGGGTCAGATTCTGTATAAATAGCACTTGGACTCTGAAACCACTCTGCTATGGGGTCTCTCTCTTTGCCAGTTTTTCAGATGAGGGGACACAGGCTCAGAGAGGTTATGGCTGTGCATTGCCTAAGGGCATGCTAAGGGCAGGTGAGCCTTCTAACCAGGACTGCTGCTACAAACGCTGTCTCCCATCAGCACATTTCTCCCTCCTGGCACCCAGCCCAGCCCCAGCCTCCGTCCCTACCTCGTGCACACATTGGAACAGCTCCCAGTGGAAGGCAGTAAGGTGGTTGGCAACGTCCTCGGGCTCCACTCGGTGGATCTCTGTGTCTCCAGGAGAGACCTGGATCTCCTCAGGGAGGGGCACCTGGTGGCAGGCAGGGGCATAGGGGCTGGACTCCTGGTGGCAGCATGAGGTCCTGCTCCCAGTGCCCTCAGTCCCCACTTCCAGCCGAGGCCTTGTGAAGGAGTCCTTACCAGGGCCTCATAACTGTCCCGGGTACAGGCAAACAGGTGGCTGTTGATGCCCAGCGTGGTGAAAACACAGTCCTCAGTCGGCTGCAGCAGGACCTTCTCTGCAGGAGAACGAGCAGCTCAGCCTCAGCCCCAGCCACCTGCACCCTCACTCACCCCGGCCACTGTTGCCATCCCATCCAGAAAATCCTGACCCACGCCGGCACATTCTAGACGAATGGGACTCATATTATCACCAGTTTAATTATTTATTATTTATTTTGGCAGCTGGCCAGTACAGGGATCCAAACCTTTGACCTTGGTGTTATCAGCACCATATCCTAACCAAGTGAACTAACCATCCAGACCGATGCCATATTTATCTGAAATTTGTCAAATGATTTATTTTGTATTTATAGTCTCTGTTTACCCCCAATGTTCTTTCACAGCTCTGCACTCACTCTATCATCCCTGTGACACTGAAAAGGCAGGAAATTTTTCCCGCCTAGAGGAAAATAAGGATGTGGCTACATTGCTGGCTTTCTGCCTTCCCACGGGGATTGGAGGCCCACTCTGTATCTTTAGCCTGAAAAATGTAGCATCCTTAGATGCTCAGGGAGATAAGGGACCAGAACACAATCGCCAGGTGAGCGCAAGGAAGCACCTGATTAGAAAAAAGTGTGGTCCTGGACCAGTGCTTCCCAAACTTCCAGGTGCATAGGAGTCCCCTGGGGGTCTTGTTCAAATGCGGATTCTAATCCAGCAGGTCTGGGATGGGGTGTGAGATGCTGCATTTTTAACAAGCTCCCAGGTGATGCACATGAGGCTGGTCCCAGGACCACACTTTGAGTAGCAAGGACCTAAAATTCAGTCCTTATCCCTGCCCCAGGGCACCGAGCTAGTGAGTTCTCCTTTTCCAGCTCTCCAGCCTAGCTCTTCCTGACCCTCACCTCCTGAGGAGGCCACAGCTACAAGGATGAGGGAATCCTCACGCCCTGCAGGCTCCTCTGAGTACTGCAGTTTCTCCGTCACAGAGCCCAGGATGTCCTGCACAGATGCTGAGAGGCGGCTGCGTATGGTCACATAAGAGTGATCAGGCATGTAGACCCGGCAGAAGACTGGACAGATATGGGATCCGAACCCGGGGCCTTGGTGTTATCAGCACCGCACTCTCCCGAGTGAGCCATGAGCCGGCCTGCCAACTGGTTTTTAAACACAGCTGTTAGAATACATATAAGGGCCGGCCCTGTGGCTCACTTGGGAGAGTGCGGCGCTGGGAGCGCCGAGGCCGTGGGTTCGGATCCCTATATAGGGATGGCCGGTGCGCTCACTGGCTGAGCATGGTGCAGACCACACCATGCTGAGGGTTGCGATCCCCTTACCGGTCCAAAAAAAAAAAAATACATATAAATGGGCCGGCCCGTGGCTCACTCAGGAGAGTGTGGTGCTGTTAACACCAAGTCAAGGGTTAAGATCCCCTTGCTGGTCATATTTTAGAAAAAAACAAAAAACAAATAAAGAAATCTTTTTCTATTTTTCTATCCAGTTTATTCTCTAACCCATAGGTAACAACAACAAAGCAGGATCATATAAAGTATCTAAAAAAAGATCAGATGTTAAAAGTAAAACAGAACCAAGGTATCAAGTTCTTTCTCAACATGAAAATAGTTATTTTGTTATTTGTTTATACCTATTCTTAGGTATAAATGATCTTAGGATATGAATGTCACAAAAAACCACCAACCAAGAGTGTACCTACTAGGTTAGACTCAATCTGGTTTGCCATCAGAGAGGCATTGTTAGTGGCTGAGATAGATTTTTTTTTTTGGACCCTGAATAAATATTAGGCTGAGTATAACTGACTATCTGTATTATATGCTTACTAGTTCACTAGATAGTAGATTGAGCATTAGTCGTGGCTTGTGAGACAAGGAATCTTATACTTCTGCATCTCCTCAGGGTCTAGCACAAAGTAGATGTATGGTAAATGATGATAAAACTCACGTGTTGTACTTTCCTTAATTTTTTTTTTAGTCGCTTGTGTATTACGGATAGGTGCACTGCTACAGTGTGCCGCTTGAGAGCGCGGTGGCGCTCCCGCCGAGGGTTTGGATCCCACATACAGACCGGTTCCCGCTCACTGGCTGAGCGAGGTGCGGGCACAACACCGAGGGTTGCGATCCCATTGCCGGTCCCGGTCCGGTACGGGCGCGACACTGAGCGTTGCGATCCGTTGCCGGTCACGAAAAAAGACAAAAAAGGAAAAAAAAAAAAAAAAAACATATAATTAAGTATATATGTAAATATACATGTTTTATGAACTTACAAATAAATTATTACAAAAAGTGTAGTTTCCTAATGGCTTTACTACGTTTTTATTGTGTGTGCTCTTGAGGTTATCTACATCTATTGTATTTGTACGGTGGAAATGCCATATGGCGGCCTGCTACTGCACATCTCTTCCCAACTCTATATTTGCTGACATCAGGTCGGCAGCTTGAAATCAGCCATGGTGAGAGAATTTACACTGTGGGAATCAGCAAACACTACAAATCAGGGCTCTTTCTCCTGAAGTGCTGGCTGTTAAATATTTACCAGCACACCACCAGACTGACAGACAGACGGATGGGAGAATGGACAAGAAGATGACCGGAGACAGTGCTTTGTGCTACCCTCTAGTAAAAGAAAGGGGCTGAGATAAAACCTCATTGGAGCCAGAAGGCCAGAGGCAGCCCCTGTAATAAAGGAACTCGGGGACCTCTTTCCTTTCCCTTCTCCCAGCCCCTTCCCCCTCACTTTAGCTCCACCGTCTCCACAAGCTGGTGCAGCCTCAGTGTGTCCTCTCGAAGGTCCTGGTAAAGGGACTCATCCTTCATAATTAGCAGGTACAGATCCTGGGGAGAGGAGGACAGAGAAAGTGAGGGTAGGGGTCTCATTCCAAGGATCACTCTCTGCAAGGGCTAGGGCAGGGTCTCCATGCTTTCAAGCATAGAAGAACCATACGAGCTAAGGCCCACTAGCATCTTTTCCTTCCAGGTACCCAGCGGGAGGAGTATGGCTCCTTCAAGGGGCCCCCCTTCAGCCAATAGCCTGCTCACCCACCTTCTCTTCCCCCAGGCCCACCTTGATGATCTGGCCGGCGCCCTCTTCCTCCTGCAGCAGCCCCTGGTAGGTGTCCAAGAAATGGAGGAGCATGGCCAGACAGGCCTGCTTCCGGCCCAGCCCCTCGGGGCCCTCCAAGGCCTCTGCCCGAACAAAGCTGACCCGTAAGTTAAGAAAAATCCCCAGGCAGGCAGATCTGAGGGAACTGGGAAGGCATTTGGGAAGCAATGGGAGGCTAAATCACCCCCAATACTCTCTAGATTTGAGGCCAGGGGGAAGAGAAGTTCAGGGGTCCTAGAGCCAAGACCCCTTCATGTCCCAGCCCAGATTTTTGCTCAGATAGGTAGGGATGGCACCCGCTTGGCCACATCCAGCTCCTGCCTGTTAGGTTGTCACTTGAGGATACCCTGCCACCCATCCGATCTCTGGCTAGCCCAGAGCCAGGAGCTCATGGTGGGGCTGATACCACAAGCCTGACCATACTTCATTGTAAGGCCTGATGTTTCTAAGAGAGCCTGTGACATTCTTCTCAGTGGCCTGACATTTACAATTAGGTCCTAAAATAACTCAGCGAGGGGCCCTATGGTTACACGAGACCCTATGAATAGCCCAGTGGCTTGTCTCTAGCAGACCCTACTGAAGCACAGCCATGGCCTGCTGTTTACATCAGACCCTGTAATAACTCACTGGGCAACCAGATGTTTAGAGCAATTCAGTGGGGAGAGAGGCACCCTTAATAGAATAATAACACCTTACATTTGGACAGGGCTCTGCCGTCTCCAAAGCACTCCCACATCTGCTATCGGATTGATCTTCACAACAGCCCTGGAGGTAGGCAGAGCAGGTGCTATTTATCTTTTTTTTTTTTTTAATAGAAGAGGAAACTGAGGCCCCAGGAGGTTGGATCACCTGCCCAAGGTCACACAGCTGGTGAGTAGAAAAGCTGGGACTAAAAGGTGTGTTTTCTAGGGGAGTGCTTAGGTTCTGTCATTACATGTGGGGTAGAAGGAGTGGCTCCCTCCTGATCTCCCCTTTTACAAACTCCACAAAAGGATATTACTGGTGTAGCTCCTGCAGAAATTTCTCCGTTGGGAGGAAGAGAGAATGGGTAAGGATGATGTCATCCAGCAGGATATCTGTAGAGATCAATGGGTACCACAGATGTCAGGAGGGCACTTCCAGAACCAGTCTAGAAACCCTGCATCCCCCTCTCTTGCCTCCACGGGTGAGTTCTCTTTAGCCAGGCTGGAGCCTCAGCCACCTGCCCCATCATGCTCTGCACATATGCGTACACACGTGTGTGAAGGTTCTGGGCAGCCGCTGCGGGAGTGGGGTTGGCAGCTGCCAAGGCAGCTGGGGGTGGGGGGGATGTGATGGCCATGTGCACTTCCCTTCAGTGTATATGGGAAGTTGGTCAGATAACACACCAAGCTTGAGATCTGCCTGAAAAAAGTAGCCCAGAGAAGGGTCCTGTAGACAAAGAGAACTTCCAGACACAGAGGTTAGTGTCAGTGGGGTGTGTGTGTGTGTGTGTGTCCCTCCTCCCCTTCCCACTACCTACCTAATAGCTTTGAGTTCCAACTAGGCAGGTGGGAACTAGCCCCATTAAAAAAGGAGAGGGAGCAACTGCTGTCTCTTTGATCCTAGAGCCTTTAAATAGAAACCCTGTGTCCTCTGGGTGCCCAGAGATGGAAGGGTTAATGACGGAAGGTGGAGGGGAGTGGCTCCTCTCACCACCCCTTCCCCCTCCACACCCCCTTCTGAGCCTGGCTCAGCCAGTCAGCCAGGTACAAGGTCGCCCTGACTTGCAGCCAGCCCTGGGGTGGGGCAGGGCCGCCTGGCACACGCAGACAGGCAGGGCACAGGGAGGGAACCAGGTGTCCTCACCAGGACAGGTTAGGGCCAGGTCCCCAGGCACTGCCCCAGGACAAAACCAAGGCTTCTGCGGCCCTTGGTTCACCATGCTCTGGCCAGCCATTCTGGATATAAAGGTGTAGGAGGAGAATCAACACAAGATCATCTACTTCAACTATTTCATTTCACAAATGAGAAACCGAGGTCCAGAGCTGGGAGGGACTTGCCTGGAGGTCGAATAAGAACCCTGACTCTTGAGTCTTTGTTTTTTCTTCCACAGGCTTGTGGCAAGCAAAGTGTCAGGGCAGAACCTAGTGTTCAGATGGGGCTGCTTAGAAGTTTGAGAGTCTTTGGCTGGGGTTTAGAGTACCTTCTGTAAATTCTCTCCTCCCACACACCATGGGAGGAAACCAAGATGGCTTGAGAACATTGTTGAGACTGGAGAAGATCAGAGTGGCAGGTTAAGCTGATTCTTATTCACTCTTTGGGGTTTCCCAAACCAGTTACTCTGGGGAGCCAGCCTAACAGGCCGGATAATATGGGGGACAATCAATTCAGGAGTCTTACCACAGGGGCGGCTGAGCAGAGTCTATGGCACCAGGCCCCTGTGGAAGAGGAATGATAGTTTTTCCCTTTTCCTCTCTGCCCAGATATCCTGCTGTGTTCTCAAAGTGAGTCGGAGAGTCCCCAGCACCGATCACCAGCTCCATGGATGGGAACCAGGAACTGGGATGCCTGACATCCTTCCTAGACTCTTGATCCCACAGGAGAGCTAAGCCAGAGCAAAGGAAAAGGAACATGGGGCAGAGTGGGGGAGATGCTGATATGGGGGCTATGGTTTGGCATCTGTCTCTTCCAAGGCAGGCTCTGGTCCAATGCACAGCCTCCCTAGGGAATGTGTCATAGAGACACAGGGTGTGTGGTGTAGGCGGGAAGTTATGGTTAGGAGAGCTGTGTGTCTGATATTTTTCTAATTAAATCCAAAAGGTGTCAGCTCCCCAGGGCAAGTACACAGACTGAGCAAATGAGAGAACCCAGGTCTTGAGATAAATCGAGAGAAGAGTAGCACCCCACTTCACACTCCAAGGTTGGGGCTCCCTGCAGAGGGCTGACAGTACAGTGTGAAACCACCATCTTTAGGGTCTCAACAAGGGCACCCAAACCTCAGACCCTCTTGAGCTTAGGTCCTGGCTAGAGTTAGACCTAAAGACCCTTAGGTCTTCGACCTCAGCCACTAACCAGCAATTTGGGGCCTCTGTTTCCTCAAAGGCACTTTAGTAGGGGTGCTGGTGGGGAGTGGCAAAATAGCATCATCATTTAGGGAATAAACCTCTCAGGGTGTGGTTATTATTTTTTAAAGAAGTCTGCCACCGGAAGGGTGGGAGCTGGAGAGGCTCAGACCCCCTGGATGCTGCAGGGCCCTGATGCCTGCTCAGCCACTGCTGGCCTCACAGACACCTTCTGAGTCTACCCTCGAGTGGAATGCTACGCCCCTCGCCTCCCATCAAGCTACTAAGAGCAACGAATCACTTCGCCCCAGCCCAAAAGGCAGCGCAGGCCCTGCGCCTGTCTGGCTAGCCCTGAGCAGGCCGGCCCTGTGCTCTGGGGCTTCTAAACAGAGCCAGGGACTCCTGTGACATTTTTCAAGGCTTGGTGCCTCTGGAGAACAGCACGAGCTGCGCTGGGCAGCTTCCATCTTAGTGTGTTAGGCCCTAATTCGGGGCCACAGAACGAGGTAATGAACATCAGCGACCCATGTGAGTCTGTGGCTAGGATGTCTTAGGGTGACTAGAGGAGATAAAGAGGCCCGGATTCTTCTCCAGCCGAGGGTGGGGCTGCTACAGGGAGGAAGGTGGGCACGGCCGCTTCCCTTCTGCCGGAGTGTCTGCGCCTCATGAGGCTAAGCCCCCACCCCACGTCAGCGGACGGCCAGCTCCACCTCCAGGCTCCAGCACAGGGCCACCCCCACTCTCCAAGGGCAAGGAGAGGGACCAGGGGCAAGCCCCTGCTCCAGACTCCTTACCTGAGGCGACGCTGTCCCTAGTGGCCCCTCCGGCCAGCCCCCCCCG